ATGTTTCTTATCTACAGTTCTCACTACTTGGTCAATTATTCAAAGTATATCAAAGATAAAATATAAACACACCATATTGATTTCATTACTTTAAAACATATATCTTGTCATTAGAGCATGTTGTTATGGTCTTCATAATTCTATTTTAAAATAAGAAAAATTTAAGTGAAACTCCAGATAACATTTTATCATTTTAGGGTATACAATATATTGATTTGACATTTGTATATACTGTGTAACAATCACCATAAGTCCAGTTAACATCCATGACCACACATAGTTATATTTTTTTCCCCTTGTGATGAGAACTTTTAACATCTACTCTCTTGCAACTTAAAAAAGGGAGGGTGGAATTATTTAACACTATCATAAAAAATTAAATGTTTCCTTACCGGTCATAGCAGTTGATGTCATCCAGCCAACAACCTTGCTTCACTATTTCAATGGAACCAGAAATATTCTTCCACGTAGCAAAACAATGTCGCCGTTTATCTTTGTCACCATAACAGGGTTCAACACCAGTTCGATTGGTTTTATCTCTTTCCCAATTAGCATTATAGAAAATACACTCCTGAGTTTCTGATCTACCAAGTATAGCACCTATAAGATTTAAAAAATATATATATATATGAATATACACACACGCGCGCGCGCACACACACACGCACACACACGTTAACTGTATAAGCTCTTAAAATATGAGACCCAACATACCAACTTCAAATCTTCCTAAAATGCCAAAAAATTTACTGTCTTCCCAGTGTTATAACATTGGGTTTAGGTTTCCAGGTCAATAACTGTACTTTGAGAATAATAAACATATTAATAGAAAGTGAGTACATATATCACAAGATTTCTCTGGAAAAGGCCAATTTCACTTTACTTAAAAATATCCTTGATAAAAAGTAATATTGTTAATTTTATCAAATCTTAACTTTTGAGTACACTTCGATATTCTGTATGGCAAAACGGGAACTAAGCAAAAGCACTTCTGCTGCATACTGCAATACAATGGCTGCCTAAAGAAAAAGCCCTTGCATGATTGATCTGTGAACTAAACCAAACATGGTTATTCAGTCTTGGGAATCTGGCAAGCATGTTCTCAAAAATTAACTAAGTAAACCTGTTAAACTTCAAAAAAACAACTGACAGTATATATTACCAATGATAAACTTTGAGTTTTCAACCAAAATTAAGAATTTTAGCAACCACTACCATTAAATACGTAACACCTTCTCAATATTAACAAATGTTACTTTTAAATGCTGAATAACAAAATGTGCCAATATTCAAAAGGTCTATATAATTCTGAGAACCAATATTTTTCAAATGAATTATATGTGATGTTACAAAAGCATTCATGGGAAAAAAAAATCCATCCAATGTTCAAGAGAACCCAATACATTTTAATGTTACAAAAGACAAAAAGTTCATTAACGGTTTCTGATTCTGCACTGTAACTTTTAAGAAATTATCTCTTGTATTATAGGAAAAGGAAGAGAACAGAAATATCCAAATTAATTCTGGAAAAGACATACAAAAGAGAATCCGTACTATTGTTTTTAAGACTTACTACAAAGGTTCAGCAATCATGATAGTGTGGTCTTAGTGAGAAGACAGACACACGCACCAATGGTACAGAACAGAGAATCCAGAAATAGTCCCACACTTATATGGTCAATTGATACAGAGCAAAGGTGCCAATGCATTTCAACAGAGAAAACAATGTGTTTTCAATAACTGATGCTGGAACAATTAGATATCTATATGCAAAAACAGAACCCTGACTCATACCTCATGCCACATACAAACATTAACTCTAAACATATCACAGACCTAAATAAAATCTAAAACTACAAAACATCTAGAAAAAAAATGGAAAATCTTTGTGATGGTAAGTTATGAAAGATTTAAGACACAAAACATATGAGCATAAAAGAAAGAACTGATAAGTCGATCTCCATTAAAATAAAAACTTCTCTTTGAAGTTAAGGAAAAAGGTCACAGATGAGGAGAAAATACTTGCAAATTATTTACTAAAAAAAAAATTGATATTCAGAATATAGAAAGGCCTCTTACAACTCATATTAAGAAAACGCACTACTCAATTTTTTAAAAAATGGGTAAAAGAGTCAAATAGATAATTTGCCAAAGACATGTGAATGGAAAATACTACATGAAAAGATACTCAATATCTTTCACCATTAGGGAAATGCAAATTAAAACTAAATCTAATATTGATTAGGATAACTAAAACAAAAATAAAAATGGACAATCTCTAGTAAATATGTAGAGCAACTGAGTCTTTCACACATTGGTGGTGAAAATGCAAAAACGGTCCAGCCACTTTTAAGTTTTACGGCTTCTTACAATTAAATCTACACCTGCCATACTACCAAGCAATCACATGCCTAGGCATTTACCTAAAAAATGAAAACATAAGTCCATGCAAAAATCTGTGTATGAATGGTTAAAGTGGCCTTATTCATAATCACCAAAAACTAGAAACAACACAATATTCAGCTCTGGTAAAATGCATAAACATCCATACAAGAAAAAGAAATTAACTAGTGATTGCTGCAACAACATGGATGAATCTCAAACACATTATGTTAAATGAAAGAAGACAGACTGAAAGGTTACATATCTTATGATTCCATCCATTTACATGACACTTTGGAAAAGACAAAAAACCGCTATGGTGACAAAAATCAGATCAGATGTTGCCAGAAGCTGGGAGTAAGGGAAGAGCGCATTACAAAAGGGCATAAGGAAACTTTTGAGGATGATGAAAATATTCTACAATTTGATTGTGGTGATAATTATATGGTTGTATGGTTAATCAAAACTCATAAAATTGTATATATAAAAAATACATTTTATTCTATGTAAACTATACTTCAATAAACCTAACTTAAAAAAAAAAAAAAACCTACCATAGGTTGAGTTTTGGTATAGTATCAAAGAAAACAACCACAATCATCTATAAAAGCAATTAAAATGCTCATTTTTCTAACTATATATCTGTGTATGGCCAGATTTCCTTCATATCAAAACAACATATAACAAACTGAATGGATAAACAGTAGAATCCATTTTATTCCCACTAAAACAATCATTAAAAAGGTTTACAAAAATTTCACAAATTTTTTTTTGTTTTGGAAAATATTTTTCATAAAAATATGTTCTTTTGTTAACAGATTATTGTCACTATTAAATATTTTTAAATTTTGTCTTAATTTCTAATATGATAAATATTGACAGATATAAACCACATTTAAAAGGTTCTTTGTAGTTATAAATTTTTTTAAGTCTGCAGTTCTGAAACCAAGAAGTTTGAGAACTGCTGCTCTATAACATACTAGCACAGAGATCTAACAGCTGATAGAATCTGTAGCAGTAATAGTGCTGTGGACTTCCTCTCAGCTATATTAGAAAATAACAGCATGAGCTGAAATATTGTAAATTATAGCTGGTAACTCTGTGCCCATTGCAGTCTATAAAAGAAGGCCTGCCACTCCTATTCATCTGTATACCAACAGTAGCCATTTTCTAAATTATTCCTTCTCAGAAACTTGTTAAAATATTAGCAAAATAAGTTTTCTCCTTTACTAAATAAATAGCCCAAAGCAATCATTCACTGCTCACATTATGTTAAAACAGGGAATGGCAAACTTTCTATAAAGGACCAGACAAGTAAAATTTTAGGCTTTCCAGGCCATATGGTCTCTGACAACTATTCAATTCTGCCATTGTGGCACAAAAGCATCCATAAGATACTAAATGAACAGGCATGATTATGTTACAATAAAACTTTATTTATGAACACTGAAAACTAAATCTGATATAATTTTCACATGTCACAAAATAACATTTTTTTCCATTTTTTAAAAACCATTTAAAAATGTAAAAATCATTCCTAGTTCACAGACTGGATTTGGCTCACAGGCTGTGTGGTCAGCTACCTCTGAAAAAAAATGTACTAATTCCTACACTATAGGTTAACGTGCCTCTTTGCCTTGTTTCATTGGGGAGGGGTCCTCTGTGAATTATCACTTGTGTAATTCATTTTAAAAACTACTACGAATTATTTTTAATTTCCAACAGAAGACTCCATCGAAGCATAGAAACACCGTTTAAAGAAACCTGATCCCCCCAAAAAAATGCTGCGTAGGGCAGAAACGCCAACTAGGTTTCATCTTTGGTGTCAATTCCAATCAGTTAATAATGGCTTCCTGGAGCAGTGTACTGAGAAAGCTTTTGAGGTAAAGGCTTTTGGGGTATGGAAGGAGGCGGAGCAACATCAGTCTTTTCTGCCACCTCTGGTCTAGAGAAGAGATAAATGAATGAACATTTTATTTAAAAAAAAAAAAAAAACCACACTTCTTAATTTTTAAAAATAAATAAGATTTCTGGATGATTTTCTAGATCTGTATTATCATTTGATTGATATTTTCTATAGGTAGAAAAAAGATGGATTATAGGAAAAACTGTGACAATCTTGCCACCCCCTCTCAAGCTGATTCTGTAATCAGTCTCTATTACATCATATCCCTAGCTGAATACTAAATATAATAACATGACAATTATGAAAATAACTCAAATTTATGTATTTTTGTGTTCTTAAGCTCATATTCTGACTTTAAAAGTGTAATTCTAAAAAGGATGGCAGAAGTTACCAATATACACTAATTTTTAATAGCATCTCCCAATTTAAAAATTTCTGAAACTTTAAATTCCTATCTATACGTTTATTCTATCAAAGTAATTCCAAATAGTTAATACTATTTTCAAAAGAAACAAACAGGCATAAAAGATTTGGGTGCAGGATTTAATACAATGGTTCTGTGTATCAGAATCCCCTATATTATGTTTGAGTGCCATTTTGTAGGCCCTGAAAATAACCAGCTGAAAAGTACATGGGGAAGGAGTGTGGGGAACACACATACATACATACACGTAGTGTATATATATGTATTTATTTTCCTTTTGGCAAAGACCCACTGGTGATCTTATGTGCCTCCTTAGTTAAATTAAGTACCACTGACTTAATAACCTATGGCCCGAACTTAGAATTTAGTTCACAAACTGTGACCTTGAACAAGTTACCAAACATTTTCACTATCTCGTTTCCATATCTGATTCAATTTCCACAATCATTCTGTAATTAATATTATGGATAATTTCACAGTTTCGTAATCCACACTCATCCTAGTTATAGTAAATCAAGAAGTCTAGTCACAGAATCCAGTATTAGACTTAATTTAGATAACTGTTCTATTTCCAAAGTACTGCCTATGCATTAATGACTAGTACTGACCGTTGTTTTTCCTATTAAAAAGAAAAAAAAAAAAAAGGCAATACAAGGCACTTGATGTTTGGTAGACCACTTGCCACCAAACAGACCTATAAAAGTCATATTCAAATTTAAAATATTCCTCCTATAAGGAAAAAGTAAATTTCACTTAATAGCTGCATATGAAGGTTTTGTTTTTTAAAAGCGTGAAGTATTACAATAATACACCAACACTAATTTTATACAATGTCTTCCAGAAACAGAAAAGGAACCACTTCGCGACTAATTTTATGAGGCCAGTATT